TGTGTGTGTGTGTGTGTGTGTGTGTGTGTGTGTGTGTGTGTGTCAGGGAATAAAGGAGACTCTGTTGGTTGTCCTGGTGTACCTGGAGACAAAGGCTATCCTGGAGCTACAGGAGTCACTGGTAACAAATATGTTTTGTGACTTTGTTTTTTTAATAAAAGACACAACATCTTCTGACTGCTTTTTGGTCTGCAGGCTTTTCTGGACATTTAGGAGACTTCGGGCCACCTGGCTTGACTGGAGCTCCAGGACAGAAAGGATGCAAAGGACTCCCAGGTCTCAGAGGTTACCATGGAGAAGGAGGTACAGAAACATGAACCAGTCTTTGATCATTAGAAATAAAATTGTTAGTTGTCTCAGAGTGAGTCCTGCTCCTACAGAGATATTGTGTCTCTATCAGGTGTACTTGGTCCTCCGGGGCCCAGAGGTCTCTCTGGGCATCCAGGTCTTCCTGGTGAATCAGGTGCAGATGGCCCTTCTGGACTGCAGGGTTGCCAGGGACTCCAAGGTCAGAACCTGCTATGTTAATGAGCTTTACTGAGTGAAAAGTCTGTTCAAACTAGACAAGACTCACTGAGTGGTTCTCCACTGATCTGACTGTTCACGAAGTCCTCCTGGTCCTGCTGTCAGATGTTTAATCAAAAGACACAAAGGCTCCAGTGTTGGCTGTAAGGATAAAAAAGCCATAAATGTAAAATAAGAGTTTAATTATTGACTCATAATACACCTACTTCATCCACATGAGTATCTACACCCACCTGTCCCACCTTCTGAACTGTCCTCATCCTCATTGTCGGTCATTTGACCCGTTTTTATTTTTCCCATCAGTGAAACATCTGAGCTCCATGTTTTAGACGTTCAACAGRTTCATATCATCTGCATAGAACAGAACTTCAGCCTGAGCTCTGAAACAGCCCTGAGGGACTCCAGTGATAAAGAAGAACGCTGTGGGTTCTCAATGAATGTTTTATTTTTATCAGGTCCTCCTGGACCTCCAGGACTTCATGGACTGGATGGACTGAAAGGAGTGAAAGGCGACATGGGGACCAGAGGTTTGAGCCTCAAACACACAAACAAATCAGTGATACACCCGAGAATCACATGCTGCTGAACTGTTTCCTATTCAAATGAAAAGAATGGGTTCGGTTCTGAAGGGTTTAAAACCATAAACGGGCCAGATGTTGGTTCTGCTCCAGCCTTTTTCATTCATTAATTTGTGYTTCTGAGCTGCTGAAGGTCAAATGTGGACAACTTGGTCCAAGYTTTGGTGTTTGAAACAGAATCAATGTATTTGTTAAAGAATAGCTATGTTTCTGATAAACATTTGTCCTTCTCCTCAGGTCTGAGCTCGCAGGGTCCTCCAGGTTTCCCAGGACCACAAGGACAGAAAGGTCCACAAGGTCCTGAAGGTATTACTTGTCCACCACATCTAGGACCACCAGGACCCAGAGGACCACCAGGACCCAAAGGTCTGCTCCGTCAGTTGGACCAACAGAGGTGGTGTTTTCAAAACCAAAGGATGTCATTGATCTGGTTCTTGTTCTGTTTTAGGGCCTGAAGGTGGTTCTGGACCTCCAGGTCCACCTGGGMAGAGCTGTGAAATCCCATACCCAGGAGTTCTAGGAGATCGCGGTTATGAGGGCCTAGATGGAGACCCAGGTCAATAATCATGCCACATAACAGGTTTAATCAAATGAAGGAGATGGTTCCCACTGAAGACCACTTACATGGCTTTTATGTCTCAGGGTGCCTTGGAGAAATAGGAGACCCAGGTCCAAACCCTCCAATCTGTGGAGACATTGGGGACAATGGCGATCCAGGGTGCGCGGGGCCTAAAGGACCTAAAGGACTAAAAGGATATCATGGGCCACAGGGCTGCCCTGGAGAYCCAGGTCCAAAAGGTTAGACTCAAATACCACATCTGTCATTTTAGTCCGGAAACCATCAACATGWCAACAAGTTCTAACAGAACTGATGAACAATTTCAATCTGATGCTGCTGAAACTTCAGAAAATCTCCAACTGTTCCAGAAAAATATAATGATCTGAACTCTGAGTCTGACTCTGAGTCTCAGGGAGTAAATCTTGTTTTTGTCAGAAGAATCCTAGTGTTTGGATTACAGTCCCTGTTCAGACCTGACGCTTTGTTCTGAACCTCAGAGGAGGTCAGCACACTTCTCTGACAGGATGGGTCTCTGCATTGAGACGGGTTCTGTTTAATGGTTCAATAAAACCTTCAGCTGAATAAAACAAGTTAGTCCAGTTTGGCTGTTTAATCAGCTGGAAGCTGTGAGGATGTTCTGTCTGCACCGAGACGTCCTGCTTGTGAGGTCACCTCGGGTCAGCAGAAGGTCCTGACATGTTCAGATCACATCTCTGAGGCAGTTCAGACCATTCATTTGGATCAGTCAGGTGTGACCCGGGTCTTTATTTCAACCTTGTTCCTGCATGTTACTCTGAGCAGATCTAAACCTCAGTCTGTGATCCTGTTCAAAGGGATGACAGGAGATCCTGGTTTTATGGGAGAACCTGGGAGTCGAGCTCCAAAAGGTGACCCTGGACTCTCTGGACCAAAAGGMCCAAARGGACCAGATGGACCACCTGGTCCAAAGGGGGAGAAAGGACGAGAACTTCCCTGTCCCCTCTACCCTATAGCAGAAAATGGCCCCCAAGGACAACGTGGACCCCCCGGTCCACCGGGGGAAATGGGCCTCCCTGGAGAAACTGGTCCACCAGGACAGAAAGGTGAGAAACTGTGGACTCAGCTGGAGCTGGTGCTYAGGTTCTGGTTTATCTGACAGTCCAGATGATGGGTTTCAGGTTTTAAAGGAGAACGTGGACAAGATGGACTGACTGGTTCTGTGGGACCAAGTGGTGAAAAGGGAGTCAACGGAGAACATGGTTTGCCAGGGGAGATGGGGGTGGATGGATCTCAAGGTGAGTATCGTTTTGATTTTAGTTTTGTTTCAGATTTCCTGTTTTGTTAGTTAAACTTCCTGTTTTGTTTGTTAAACTTCCTGTTTTGTTTGTTAAACTTCCTGTTTTGTTGGTTGAACTTCCTGTTTTGTTGGTTGAACTTCCTGTTTTGTTGATTGAACTTCCTGTTTTGTTGGTTGAACTTCCTGTTTTGTTGATTGAACTTCCTGTTTTGTTGGTTGAACTTCCTGTTTTGTTGATTGAACTTCCTGTTTTCAACCTGCTTTACTGGGTAAACTTCCTGTTTTTTTATTGAACTTCCTGTTTTGTTGGTTGAACTTCCTGTTTTGTTGATTGAACTTCCTGTTTTCAACCTGTTTTACTGGGTAAACTTCCTGTTTTTTTATTGAACTTCCTGTTTTGTTGGTTGAACTTCCTGTCATGTGGTCTTTGCGTTGCAGGCGAACCCGGTGCAGCAGGGGACCGGGGTCCTGATGGAGGGACTAACAACCTGAATCTGGGGTTCTTGTTAGTGAAACACAGCCAGACGACAGAAATTCCCTCCTGCCCAGAAGACATGACCCAGTTGTGGGACGGATACAGTCTGCTGTACCTGGAGGGTCAGGAACGAGCTCATCCTCAGGATCTGGGTACAGAACCACAGATTTACAGTCACTTATTCACAKAACATCCTCCTTGGTTTATTGGATCAGCTTCAGTTTTGTCAGAACTGGCCCGCYTGCTCTCTCTCAGATCACTTCTGGTCTGCTTCAGTTCTCAGCCGACTGCAGAGAGTCTCAGTGTAAAACCAACGTGTTCTGGTTTCTGTTTCTGCAGGTCAGGCGGGCTCATGTGTGCCAGTGTTCTCCACGCTGCCGTTCTTCGTCTGCGGTGTTAAAGGCTGCGGCTACGCCTCCCGGAACGATAAGTCTTACTGGTTAGCCACAATGGCAGAGGCTCCAAGAAGACCCTCTGAAGGAACGGCCATCCAAAACCACATCAGCCGCTGTGTGGTGTGTGAGGCTCCCAGCTCAGCGGTGGCGCTGCACAACCCCGACTTAAGTCAAGCACCAGACTGCCCCGAGAACTGGAGGAGCTTATGGAGCGGACACTCCTTCCTAATGGTGAGCACCAACACGCTAACACTTCTCCTGCAGGTGACAGACTAGTGCCACTTAGTGTAGTGTTGGTACGGTTCGGTACGGGTCCAAGCCATTTCCCTTAGGTCAGATCCATGGAACTGGCACTTTTTTTAGTACCTACTTCATTGTGGTTCCAAGCGGCCCCAGCTGACACCAAAATGTGAYGTCAGAACGCTGTTCGTCACTGATTGGCTAAATCTTTGCAAATTTTTTAAATTTCAAAAGTTATTCATCAAATGTGTTTCCATCTCTCATTTTGCCCATTAACGGTTTTTCAAAAAACCTAAAAACCACCTCCACCAACCACCCAAAGCACACCCACTGGAACCAGACTGGAACATCAGTGGAAAACCAACCAGTCCGAACCGTACCTACACCGACCGTTCCGACACTACACCATGGAAAAGGGGCTTTAGGCTGTGTCTAAAACGGTGGTCCGGGTCCTCCAAAGGCTGAATTCGTCGGCTGCATACGTCACAGATCCACAACGAAGGCCGTCCAAAACCAAAAACTCCTCCGATGTGGCCGACAAATGTGTCCTTCCTTTGGCCTGAATCAAAGGACAGGTCTGATGGATCCTTCCCGGCCCACCATATCCCATAATGCACTGCGGCCCAACGGGAGATTTGTTTATGCTAGTAATGGTGGACGAAGCGAGAGAAAAGAATACGTTTTAAATAAAAAATATTGCGATATAAAACTTATATTTTTTTGCGGTTGTAATTTTAATACTTTTATCATTTGTATAAACGTGTTTTTAAATATTATTTTTGTCATAAAAAAGCATGAAATAAACATGAACCTACAGCGGGTCCATTAGTTCTTCAAATGATACCTTTAAGTTAATTTTATTGTTTTGTGATATTAATAATGCAAATAAATTGATATTTTTCTAATTTTGATCTAAGTTTACTTCTGTTTAGCGTTGTCACAGTTGCTTGGCTAGATGACAGGACGTACACCGGGGTAAGGAGGGGGGTCTAGACTGTCCAAATTCAAGACACTTTTTTCCGGTCTTCATGGTCTACCAAGAACGCGGCCCGCCTAGACCGGGTAGGCTGGGTCCTTCAGAGGACCCGGCCTACCGTTTTGGACACAGCCTAAGTCTAACATGAAGCCTTATGTCAGGAGGGGGCGGGGCTTATCTGCCAGCTGTACTTCCTGTTTTTTACMTCCAGTGTTGAAACATAAGATGAACAGATTCAAGTGTGTTAGTTTTCTCCTGTCCTGACGTTTGTCTGAGTGAAAACGTGATGATGTCATTTCCTGTGTGTGTGACAGTACACAGGTGGAGGTGATGAAGGTGGGGGCCACTCTCTGACGTCCTCAGGAAGCTGCCTGCCTAAGTTCAGAACTCACCCCTTCGTGGAGTGTCAGGGCGCCCGAGGAACCTGCCACTTCTTCTCCAACATCTACAGCTTCTGGCTGACCACGCTCAGAGACACGCCCACCACGCTGAGCGAGCCCACCCAGCAGGAGGAGCACGCCGCCAAGTGTCAAGTCTGCATTCATCAGTGACGGGGAGGAGCTCCGCCTCCTGCCGGGAGGACAAACTGTCACTCCTCCTGGACGAGGGACGAAGGGACACGCGTCCCTCTGGAGGCAGACATGTTCAGCTCTTTYAGAAGACGTCCTGCAGGTCCAGGTCCATCCAGCTGGAGGGTGGTGGTCACTGCTCGACCTTTGTTTCCACACACTGTCCTCATGAGACGCACAGCTCCAAGCTTCTGCAAGCCTGGAGCTGGATTAACAGACAGACCAGATCTAAACTGCTGTGGTTTATTACAGCTCCTCACTCTGCACAGAGAGCAGCTTCAGCCATCAGAGTCAGATTATTGTGTGACGCCTGCTTCACACTGCAGGATTTCAGCCTGTTATCAACCCCCGAGGGTCCACATGAAGACCCTCAGAGAGAGCAGGCTGCTCCTGCAGTGTGTGTGGTGTAGCACCATGAGACTGACAGCTGCTGCTGCAACACACTTCAATACAACTGATGTCATTTATCATGTTAAACTCAGTTTAATTACAACTCACATGAACTTTCATTGATCTGACATCAATGTCCTGCGATCATAAAAGTACAGAAGTACACAAATGTTTCGTTAGAGTCCCTGTGGATAATTCTTACATATTTATTTTACTGCCCACAGAAACAGAAATATTAACTTTATAAAAAACAAATCTTTGATAAATAAAGCTGTAGAAAACTTGTTCTAAATACTGAGTGAAAACATAAAAGCTGACAAACTAAAGTAAAAGAAAAATCCTGAGCCTGAACTTATTTACGTGGTGATGAGAATGAAATCTGAGCATGTTTGTATCTTCTGTCACCGATCTGTGAGGATCCACAGAAACACACCTTTAACCGACAGAACGAAGGAGCTGCAGCACTCAGATTACAACTGCAGCTAAGAATATTTACAGCATATAATCCAGCCTGAGCTCCATGCTTTGTGTTCAACTCGACACGGAGTGGCTGTGTCACCATCAGCGCTCTGCCTGCTGGTAGCACAACACTAACACCTTCACTCACATGGACCGGTTCAGCTTTGTTCCCCAAACACCCCAGAAGCCTGCAGCTGCAGCCACTTTCCTTCTGCACACTTTATCTGCAGTTTACATTGATCCATTTTGTAAATAAGTGAGTAAACTTTATTTATTACAGACACAAACATCATAAAGGGTTTAACAGAGAGCAAAATAACTAAAAACAATAAAAACAGGTTACAAATATAATAAAAACAATAAAAACCCAGTAAACTGCGCTTAACTAAAAGCCTGTGTGGATAACATGACGGGTGTGATGCTTCCTGCAGTTCTTACTGTCCGCTCAGAAACTGGACCTGTGATGCGTTCAAGTCCAGAGAAAACTCAGATTTTTGAGTGTTAACCACACCAGGTACAGAGTGCTACTACTTCCAAATTTATTCATTTTTTTAGTGAATCTAATGTTTGAGAACAAAACTTCTCACAAAAAGTAACAATAGTTTCTTTATGTTCGGCCTAAACCCACCACTGTGAACCAGGCTCAACTTAAACCCTGGTGATGTCATCAGGGGGAGGAGCCATCTGCGACTGCTGCTGCTCTTCAGCAGCTCATCAGAGCAGCTGAGGTCGTTTCTTTTGATTCTGCTGGTTGATGATCTCTGACAGCTTGTTTGACCACAGGAAGTGAGGGGGCGTGGACACGGACCCTGAGCCATGTGACGGTTCTGTCTTCTGGAAGAGCCACATGTTTGTCTCCGTCAGGTGACACAGGTGTTAAAGGTCACAGCTGCTCAGTCACAGTGGACCAGCACCTGAGTGGACACACGTTTGAACCGATGCCACCGTTTCTGTAAACTTTGATTTGTAGAGAACTCTTGTTTCTGAAACATTAACTCTGACTTCAGTCACGTTTTTAACTTTCAGTCCCTCAGAGGTAAAGAAAATAAAACAATACTCAGGTAAAAATTGGTCTCTTAAATAACCTTGTTTCCTAAAGTTCAGAGCTCCTTTCCAGCTTTAATTCTGACAACACTGAAGCAAAGAGTCCCAGAAATGTTTCAGCCTAATGTCTGAAACACCAACAGGCAGGACTCATTAAAAACATACAGAGCTCAATTATTTCTAAAAAATCCTGTTTCTTCATTTAAAATGAGCAGCAGGGAGAATTTTTTACATCTAAAACCTGAAACAGTGGAGCAGAATCTGACTGTAGATCTAGTTTTTATGAAAAACAAACCTAAAAGTGAAGTCTAGATTTTCTTCATCCAGACAAGCCCAGTGGGGTTTTAGGCTGGATTCAGAAACTTTCAGTTTGTTTTCAGGTTGGATGTTGTGTTCTTATCAGATGTGAATTTTTGCACAACTATAATATAAAAATAAAATAAAAAGCTTTTTTTAGACTAAATGTTATGGGAGGTGAGGACTTCAAGTCCCAGGAGGTTTCAACTTCCTGTTTGTAAAAATATGCCTGTCATCTAAAGTTTGTGTCACATAAATAAAAACGTTGGGGAACCATTATACAGGAAACTTCCTTAAAGACATTGAACATATTTTATTTGATGCATTGTCTAAAATTGTGGGATTTTTAAATTATAATTAGAAAAGAACAGTAGCACTCCAAAACAGTTGCCTAAAAAACCCTAAACTTTAAAATATCAGGGACTGAGTACACGACCCTGTGGAACACCTGGAGTCTGTAATAGGAGCTGGTGTTTTTGATGATTTAACTGTTATTAGATGTTATCTGAAAACAGTATGGACACATGTGATTAGTGCAGCTTTATAAAATATGTGAACATTTTCCAGAACAGTTTTTCTGCACTCCAGGGTTGTTTTCTTTATTTCTGCTCCTGACTGAAAACCATAACAATCATCTGAACCGTGATGTCACATGTTCTGTAATCTGATTGGCTGCTGTGACTGTTTCTCCCACGGAAACATGAAGGCGCAGGCACAGTGCTGTCTGTGTGAGACTTTGTGCTGCCATCTTGGAAGGAGCTATGTGGAGTGCTTAGTTCCAACCTGCACTCGGTCGTTTTGTCACTAAGCTGAACTTTAGCTACCTGAAGTGGTAGGTTCTTCTGGCCTGTCTGATCCAGGCAGGAGGCTCATTGCACCATACTCTTTTTTTCCCTCATTTTCATAATGTACATGATATATTTTATGTTTAAGTGAAATAAAGTTATTTCTTGGTGTTATTGGACCGGTGACAGCAGCACAAACTGTCAAGCTGTGATACATGTAGCTCCTAGCAAGATGGCTGCTCCAAACCTCATCCAGCCCTGCCAGTGGCCATTCCTGTTTTTCTGTTTGACTGGTTCCTCCTCCTCTCAAACTTTTTTAAAATTCATTATTTTAATGTTTTTTTCTCCTGTAAATGTAAACTAACATATCTGTGGTTATTCTGGTTCTGCTCAGAGTCCGGCTCTGGTTCTGGTTCTGGTTTTGTTCGTTGTAAATATGTTTGACCTGAACTGTTTTACATTTTACTGTAAATGTCAGAGTATTTATTTAGCCTCAAATTACTGTTGGTGCTTTTTAAATGTCTGTCTCTTATTTTGGTAAAAGGCTTGAACAGGTGTAGCCCCGCCCACTTACACCGCCAAAATAAAGCAGCATTAACATTTTTACAATAAATAGTGTATATGTGTTAGTTCTCCAGGTGGTGGACAAAACTTGAAAATGAAACTTTGTTTATTCCATCATTTCACGTAATTTTACTGAGATTTTGTTTTTTATTTATGAGAAAATAAAATGTAAAAACTTTAGTATTTGAAGCTTCTGGGGAGGGATCACTGGTTTCTTGTTTTATTTTAAATCTGTTGCTGATATTTTCATCTCTTTCAGAGTAAACTTCCTGCTAACACCGAATTATTTTACTGTCTGGATAAAAGTCTCCTGAATAAACTGCATCTAGTTTAACTTCAGGCTGTTTGTTTGAATTTATTCACGTTATTCAGTTTTTTATTGTTTTAGGGTTTAGAGCTACTGCTGTGAAGTTAAATATGATTTAAAAATATAAAACAAACTATTTCTGGAATGAAAAGCTGTTTGCATGAGACTGGTCTGAAAATGTTCATGTTTACTGGGGTGAAAACACAAAAACACCTCTTTGGTTCTCAGCTCTGGTTTTCCAACATGGCTGCCTCCAGAGGTCACATGTGGAAAAATCAGGTTCATGAGAACAAATCCTCACGACAACAACAGATTTAAAGCATGTTTAGATAAACTGTTATCAATACAAAACTAACATATTTTCTCAAGACAAAATATTGAATGTAAGCCGTGTGAAGAGGCCCCTTTGGGCCCACCCCCATCTCTCAAAGTGGTACGGTCCAATGACGTCACACAGCAGGTGAGCTACCTGAGGAGGCAGGTGAGGCTGTGCAGCGTTTCCAGGTAGGAGGAGGTTTAAATAACAACTGAACACTGTGAAATGTGTGCTCATGTTAGGTCACCACTGTTAGCAAACAGTGTTAGCACCAGGCTAGCTTCAGCTAGCTAGGCTAGGCTAGGCTAGGCTAGGCT